CCCGACAACTTATTATATGAAGATAAAAATTATTTCTACTTTGAGTAAAAATATTACGAGTTATGAAATATTTTATTTGAAAAAGAACAAATAATGATCTTTGAAATGGTTTATGACCATTTTAGTTACGCGTTTTTTTTTTTCTTTTAATTTAATCAATTAACGGTTTATAATATATTTTTAAAGAGTTTTCTATTATATAATTATAAAAACAATAATAAATAGAATAGTGAGGTAGTTTTTTTCCATCATTTTTGGCAATTTGTTGTTTTTTTCGTAAATAATCCTAAAAGATAAGAAACTTCTTTTGAGTTTTAATTTTTTATTATTTTATTCAGCTATAGAAGTTTCTTAATCTTTAATAGTATAAGTATTGACCTTATTCCAAGCTCTGGAACCGATTTATAAATATGTAGTATATAATTTGAGCTAACAATTGAAAGCATAACAAAGTACCGGCTAAAATACCCCAATAATGAAATTAATAAAACTGTTTAGTTTTTTTAGAATTTACTAGTTAAATAATAATAGTATATACATACATATATCCAAAACGATTTGCTAATTTTTATGTAAGAGTACATACTTGCAAATTATTTATTTTCTTTCTAATGCAAATTATTCTTGTAATACTTTCTTTACGTATCTGTAAATTGCATATGTTTAGGCGAATCTATTTGTTTACACAATAATTTTTCTTTGAAGGAAATTTTGAACTTTTTATTTTTCGTAAATAATAGCTGTAGCTATAGGCTATTTCTTTTTACATTAACAAGTTTTTATTTTAATAATCTTAATATTTTGTTTTAGTGTACCTATCGGAGACTTTTACTAACATAAATGCTCTAGTTACATTCATACATATATTGATCTAGTTTTACTAACTAATAACTTATAATACCATCCCTATTGTCTTATATACTAGAAATTAATTATAATTCAAGAGATTATACATACGTATTTATTCATATATTTTTACATCGAACATTAAGCAATAAATTAAGAATAATATAAAAATTTAGGGTCATTAAAATATAAAAAGGTATAATAAGTACGCAGTTAAAATGCGCGTGGATTTTAAGTTAAAGGCTTAAAAATTTTCGTTTCTTTTTTTTTTGTCTTGTCTATTTGGTTTTGTACATATGAGTTGTATATATGTGTAATAATTTATAATGTGAACAACATCCCGGCATTATTGAGAGTGTCAAAAAACATTTAAGCTTATTTTTATCTTTTAATCATTTTTATTATTATTTTTTTTTGACAATAATCATAAAAAAAATGTTTATTGTTGCATTCATTAATTTTAATCAGAATTGTCATTTTAAAATTCGTAAGAAGTGTGCCATGTACAGGCATCCATTATAATAAAGATAAATTGTTGATTTAATGTTAAACTTCCTCAGTAATTTGTTTTACACAACAACATATTATAATTTAAACTATGGGTGTAAAATATGTATGTAAAATATGTACATACATTTGTATATATACTCTTGTATGTATACCATTATTTATTTATTTCGTTCAACAATAATTTATTAATCGTTTTCCATTTTGTGAATTGTGAAAAGAATAATAAGAAATAAAACAATCGGTTAATAAGTTTAGATTGAGATTAAAAGAGATTCAGATGCATCTGAAAGAAAATTTGTATTAAGACAAGAAAATTTATTTGATATAAGATTTTCGAAAATCTCCAATTTAATATTACATATTTACATTTTTTACAATTTAAATGTGTTACATATTATTTTTATTGCATCACTTAAACCATTAAGAATAACCGAATAACTAAGATTGTTAATGTTTCTATTTTAAATATACATATGTATGTATGTATGTAAGACCTTTGATAATTGATGTGGGCAATTGAAAAAAATAATTTTTAAAATTTAAAATATGCGCAATACAGCAACAATTCGGAGGCAAACATGCATTATGCCATATGTGCAGACGTACGTACATTATATTAAACGAGATTCAATTGAATATGATATTTTTTTCATTGTGGGCACATTCGATATGGTATAAATTCATAAGTAGATACAAATTCAAACAAAATATATGTATTTAGTAAACGTATAAATGAAATAATTCTGCTATTTATTATTTATTAAGATGTAAATAATGATTTGGTTACGTTAGAACAAATTATTCCACATTTTTCGATATTGTATTGCTAAAATCTATATATAGCATAATAGAAAAATCTATAATGATCCTCTTCCTCTACACCGACTTGCGTAGAATGTTCAAAACAAAAAATTAGAAATATCAAAATATTAAAATTTAATAATAATTAAATACTGAAATAATAATTTAATTATTAAGCACTTATCCATTTAGCAATTTAATATATGTACATGTGGATGTACATGTGGGTATGCTTTTATTCTAAAATCATTGAATTTTTCTATAATAAAAATTACAATTTCTACACATACATACCTTAAAAAAATTTAAGTTCCAGTGTAAATAATATGAGCTTCAAATAAATAAGCGTAAACTGCTTTGTAGGGTCAGTACCAATGACATGTCAACAGCTATAGCGGTTGCCCTTCTAAACATATTAAAAAAATAAAGAGGTTGTTAAACGTATGAGTCATTCCAGTAATTTGGTATTTATTTCAAAAATAAATTAAAAAGAAGTATTGATTGTATTTTTTGATTTTATATACTTTCTTTCTAGTAACTTTCGTATGAAAATTTTGAGTAAGAATCAGTTATTAGAAAAATAAAAATACTTAGACAAAAAAAAATTAAAAAACTTGAAAATGTTAATTGCAAAAAATAATGACGTTTCTTTAATAGAAGCTAAAATGTCGTATGTATTTAAAAAAATATCTCCGCTATAACTATGCTGCCACCTGTGTGTTATTAGTTATATTACAATGCCTTCAAATTACCTTATCGCAAACAAAATCCGATAAAAATAGCAACGATTCATGACTTTAATAATTTTTTTCAAATTTATCATAGACATGAATCTTTACGATAAACAGTTATGACAGATGTATATCGTAAAACGATATAATGCGATATAATGCCGTACACAAATAAAACTGGTTAATTTAGTGAAATTAAATTTTAAATAAATATTAAAATTATTAATAGAGATCTTAAGCAAATTTTAATTTTTTTTTAATCACTAAATTAAGTCTGATTATATATTCGTGACTTAGATCATGCGAAAAAATAACAATTGAATTAGTTTTAATAATCGAAGCTTATATTTGATTGCATTTATATTTTAAATGAAATTTTACACATTTTATATTAGCATTAAATTTTTGATTTTCAATACATTTTCTAATACAAATTAATGTGAAAAATATAATGAATACATACACATAATAATAATTAATGAACTAAAGCGACTCTTTATGTACATATAGGGCATCTTATTAATAGCATCGAAGTAGGAAATATATATTACTCAAAATTTGTATATTATTTTTTAAATTATTAACTGTATGCATACAACGTCCGTATTAAATACTCTTTTGAGTAAATAGACATATTATACGGTATGCTTGATAAAATTAAGGTGCACCATGTACTTAATATTCAATATGGGCCAGTACCTTAAATTTTTTTCAATTTATTCAAGTAATTACAAAGTAAGCTATATTTTATACTTTATTTGCATTTTAAATAAGTAATTTACAAATTTTTGAAAAGCTTTTTATTCAATGGAATTTATTATGATTCATTTGGGTACTTTAAATTAATAAAATACTGAATTACATACATACGTAACTACCTACATATACAGTATAAAATTAAAAAAATAATATATTTACTAATAAGCTTATCTTATCTAAACCGCGACTTTATTATTTGATTAGAATTTAAACAGAAGTTTAAGGAATACGAGATGTGTACAAATTAATAATGAAGCAATTTAATATAATTTCCGAAAATTTTTTAATTTTCTATAATATTCGTTAATAACATAAATGAAGTAAAACGATTTTTAAAACAATTCAAAAAATTTATATTTAACTTGAATTCTATAAAACTGCGTATATTATTGCATTATGGAACTCAGTGTTATTATCAACTTAATGAATAATATTTATTTCAAATATTAGTTTAACACTCCAAAAACTCGAAATGCTTCAAATATGAAATGTTACAATATCAAATCAAACCATAGATTTAGCAAACAGTTAAATTCTTTAAAATATGTCAAAACATTTTGAGAAATTTATGCGATATATATGCTCACTTATGTCGTTTAATTTTGCTTAGTTATATAATAAGTATAAATTGAAAATAAATGTTGTCTTAAAAATTTATTTAGACTTGAAAACGAAACTTTAAGAAAAACATATCTTCTACCACTCAAAATTTGAAATTACAAAATTACTTTAAAAACTAATTTGTATGGGTTTGGAGTCTACATAAAGGTCTTGATAGTGTAGTGAAAATAAATAAAAGCAAAAAAAAAAGTAAAAGCTTCCCAAAATTTAATTTAAATTTCGACACTATGGAATCATATAATAAATAATGATATAAAAGAGAACACATTTAATTTACAAATTACAATCGTAATAGAACAATGATACTCTAGCTTCTCATTCCGATCAAATTCTCACACTAATTTTTGAACGTGATTTGAGACGAGTTTTTATTTTTCTTACATAACAAAACTACTCACTAGAGGCAAAAACTCAAATATTTCAATATATGTAAAATATTACAGTTTTATTGAGAGAAAAATTGTCGCATATCTTATGTATGAAATTATAGTTCTCTTATATGTATATCATTATTTACTCAGTACTTGATTTTTATACTGAAAATAAAATGAAAAAATAGAAAAAATTTTCAATTCAAATTTTTAAATACAAAGCCGAGCTTTATCAAATATTTTAATTGAATTTTTACATAATGTTGTATGTATATCAAAAATGTAGATATAATTTATTGATTTAAACTCTCATGTATGTATGTATAACATTTTGTATAGACATGGAGATAGATATCTATACCTATACTAATTTTCATTTTATAAACGCGCATTTTATTCCATTTTCATTCAAAATAATTTTCTTCATTGATTATTCAAAGCAAAGCAATATAAAAGTAGCTTTATTAATTAAGCCCAACGGCGGCAACAAATCAAGAAAAATATCATTGATCTGAAATTGTTAGTTAATACTGGAGAATAAACGTATAACAATCTTTTCTTAAACAAAGTTACCGATTCAAACTGTGATAATATTAAAAAGCTTTTAAATGCTGTTGTTATCATTGTACGATAGAAATATATAATTATTATTGGAAGCTTTTTGAATTATCTTGAATGTTTCCGCCGATTCACCTTAGTACGCGTAATCACATAGCTACATAAAAAACATAAAAAAAAAAAAAAACAGAAAACTATTAAAACAAATTAATTAAAAGTTTATAAATCAATTTAGTTTTGAAAAAGTTTTTCACCATGGCACAATCATGGTGCGGAAAACATGATAAAAAGAGAACATTTACATCTCATAAACCTGTTATCTGTTATGATAAACCGGCAGCAGCTTTAGTATCTCGAACTGAATATGATCAAAAACGATATGATGCTGTAATGGGAACAGCTATCGACACATTTATAGTTCCAAAAAAAACTGCAAGGTTTTTATAATCTTTTTATATACATACATACATATACATAGTATTTTATTAATAAAAAAATTTACATACATAATATACTTTTATTTACATATTATTATATATAGAACATGGACAATGCAAAAGGATGACTTATGTAGAATAACATTAGTTGAAGGATCACAAGTTGGTGATATTAATATGTGGAACTTAGAAAATCCAAAAGAAAGATTTTATTCAGGAAAAACTAGACAATTACATAGTACACATTTAAAAGTATATGATAGATTATGGAGTTGTTTACCATATTTAAGACCAATGGCAACATTTGTCTTTGACACACTATGTGAATATGGAATCGATGAAGATGGTGGATCTCTTCATGATGTTATAGGTACAAGATGTGATGATTATACATATAATTTAATAACGGGTAAAGAAAGATTTGGTAGTTGTCATAGTTATCTAACAGAAGCAGTTAAAGAAAGAGGTCTGTCAGAGGAAGATGTACATGATGTTTGGAATATTTTTATGTGTACCGGTTTTACTAAAGTAATATTTTCAGATTTATTCAAATTTCTACGAAATATTAAATTAGGATTTATTAAATATTTTTTTAGGATACTCACCAATATTTTTGTAAACCAAGTCCAGCAAGAAAAGGTGATTTTATTGAATTTGTTGCCGATATGAATCTTCTTGTAGGATTAAGTACATGTCCTCAAGGTGATGTATCAATTCCAGTAGGTTTGTCTGTTCCAGATGAAATGTGCCATCCACTAAAAGTAGAAATATTTAGAAAAGACGATTGTTAATAGCAAATTAAACTGAAACAAAATTGAATTCGAACATAAGAAATTGATTTCAATTTTTTGTTTTAAATGCATTTTTTCTTTGAGCATTGGACACCCCAAGATAACTTAAAGTATAATTATGTGCTATGACGGATTTTAAATAGAACAACAAATTTTAAAGCATTTAATTTGAGTTTAATTTTGTATGATAATAAAAAATACTTTTAATTATTATTAATATGGAATGCTTCTGAATTTGAATATACTCAGTGTTGTATATGCAGAATGAGTTATATAAGCTTGCATAATATACGAATGTAATTGTTAATTATATAGTATAAAATTTATCTTAAATATTTTCAATTCAAAAATAAAGTGCTCTTAATGAATTTATAAATTATGCATTTTATATTTAAAATAAAGTGCTATGATACTTTGTACTTTTATAAGATAACATTGAACTTTGTGAGTAATTAAAAATAAAATAAAGTAAAATGGTTAAAGATATTGATTAAATTAAAATTGTAATAAAAGTTAATTTTAATAGAATTGTTGCCTGCCGTTTCTTTGTGTGTGTAATTTTGTCTTCAGTATTTAACGATACACAATTACTGTGATTAAATTCATGGGAATATAAACTATAGATTCTCTGAATACAATGCGAAATTTTCATTCCATTTTTTTTTTTAAAGTACTTTGAAGTATTTCTTAAAATCTGTAACGCTAACGTTCTTATTCTCTAAATTAAATTTCACTCTGTGGCGTTTCTGTCAAAAACAATAACTGCAATATATTCTAAAACACTATTAAACTGTTGCTCGAGATTATTTTTAAAAAACTACTGGGAAGGATTATTCTAAAAAACTATCGAGTGATAGATATTATCGTAAATTTTTTTTAAAAATTTATGGTGGACACAAATCTTTTCCAATTTATTGGTTTGTGGATATACTATTAAAGGTTTTATAAGAAAAAAATTCACAATTTTGTTCACAATAATATATTGATTTATAATTTAATAATTTATTAGAGTTAACTAACTACTAATGGACATGTAATATCAATAAAATCAAATTATGAATGTATTCTCTTTTGACTATTTTTTGATATTAAAATACATCAAATAGTTCAGTTTTGAAATTTAAATTGAAAAAATTGTTGATAAATTTGCCACCAGAATGCTCTGACGGAAAAAAATTGCAATTGTGAATTACAATATTAGGCTATGAGACATCATAAATATGTCAATATATACAAATTTATGTACATCAATACATCAAAATTTATTATTTACTTATTTGGTTTTTGCATTTCCTATATTATGTTCTTTTTTATTTTGAATATTTTCCGATTAAATTTTCTTCACAATAAATTTTAAAATTGGAAAGCGGAAAAAAGAGATTTTAAATCTATAATTGTTGCTCATTTACAAAAATGTTGCTTATAATGTACAACTATAAACATTTGCTACAGTAAGATATGTTTATATGTTCATAGAAAACGTCATCATAAATGACATCGTTTTCTTTTATCTTGTCGGTGATTTAGAATAAAACTAATAAAAGTTCTAATATTTTTTCCACATATTTGAGCATTTACACAGCTTTAAGTTATAAATTAATACAAAAATGGTTACTTTATTAAATACTGTAGATACTGGCCATGAAGATATGATACATGGTGCTGAAATGGATTATTATGGGTTAAGATTGGCTACGTGTTCATCTGATAGCTCAGTTAAAATTTTTGAAATTAAAAATGGTTCGCAAATTTTAGTAGCGGATTTAAAAGGTCATCAAGGACCAGTTTGGCAAATAGCATGGGCTCATCCAAAATTTGGTAGTATTTTAGCATCGTGCTCTTATGACCGTAAAGTAATTATTTGGAAAGACGATGGCAATTGGACTAAATTGTAAGTTTTATTAATTGTCTAGATTGGGAATTGATGATTCAATTTTTTTTGTATACATAAGTAATTTTTTTTGTATACATAATTTATAAATACATATATTTGGAACGTAAAAAAAAAAAAATTTATATTCGCTTGTGTTTTAGATATGAATACAATAATCATGATTCGTCTGTTAATTCCGTAGCATGGGCACCATCCGAATTTGGACTTATGTTGGCATGTGGGAGTTCAGATGGTTCAATATCAATTCTATCATGCAATACTGAGACAGGAAATTGGGATTATAAAAAAATTGCTAATGCTCACACTATTGGTTGTAATGCAGTTTCTTGGTGCCCGGCTACTGTACCTGAACCAGCTTTTGATGCACGTGCTGCAAAAACACCAATTGTTAAACGTTTAACATCTGGTGGTTGCGATAATTGTGTAAAAATATGGAAAGAGGAGCAAGATAGATGGGTTGAAGAAAGCAGGTTAGAAGCACACTATGATTGGGTAAGAGACGTTGCTTGGGGACCAAATATTGGTTTAAATCGTCATCAAATTGCTTCTGCATCCCAAGATCGCCATGTTATTGTTTGGACTACAGATGATATGATAAAATGGACACCAATAACATTACACACATTTGATGATGTTGTTTGGAGCGTTAGTTGGTCTGTTACTGGAGGAATCTTAGCAGTTAGCGGTGGAGACAATAAAGTCAGTTTGTGGAAAGAAAATTTTGATAATCAATGGATATGTTTGACTGAAGATGCCAATACGTCTAGTAATTTAAATGAGCAAAGAAATTTGTGAAGTCAACTTAGAACGACGTAGTAGTTATTATTCTTTTATTTAAAATTCCAATTAAAGTTTGAATCGAATTATCAAAAGTTAATTTTATTAAATATGCGTATTATTAAACACCATCATCTAAAATGTAAAATTGTTAGAAAATTCTAAATAAATCAGATGGAAATTAACATATTTTTTGAGAATTAGTAATAATAATGAAAAGCAAAAAAGATTTCAATTAAATTTGAATTTATATTTTGATAACGTATGGTAGATGTTAAGAGCCGAATCACTAAATGCTGCAAATATTATTACAACTAGTAAAAATTCGATTTAAATTACAATTTTTCAATTATCACATAAATTCTAGATTTTTTAAATAAAGTTTGTAAATCCATAAATATACAATCTCGTCCAAAGTATCGAAATCACAAGTGGTATTTTGCTTATATTTTATTTATTCAAACTGTGGAACAAATTTTAGTAATAGTCAAACTTTACTTATAAAATCTAAAGCATTTAGGCTTTTCAATATTTACTAGACACCAAGGAGCTTGCTATAGTTTTACTTAAGTGATTACATGTAAACAAACTGCAGAGAAAATTTAGTTTCTCTTTAAAAGTTTTAAATTTACATTGTTGAATTATAGCTCAAATGAAATATTTAAAAGGGTTAGATCTAATAAGGTAGGATTTTTATATTAATAAAAATATTTATTAATATTATTAATATTTATTAAAAGTATAATTATTAATAAAATATTTTTTTAATATCATTCTTAAACTGCTATTAAGACAGATTGTAGGGAGGTAATAAAAAATTAAAAATATTCAAATTTTAAAAAAGTTCAATATTTTGCATCAAATTTTGTTGGAATTGAAATGCAGGCATCGAAATTTTTTTTGAATTTTTTAAATATAAATTGATTATATTATAGAAATTCAAAACTTAAAGTTTCAAAAAAGAAATTGCAATAACAAAATTGATTTTTCTATTCCTCACTAATTTTTCTAAGTTTTCTTGATAACAGCATTGATTTTAGAAAGTACTATAATAATAGGTTATACAGCAGCGTAGAGTGTTAGAATTTCTATAAATTTACATTTACATTAGAACTCGGAAAAAAAAACATTACAAATGAACAAATGTATGTTTATAAAAAAAATGTTATACGGACACTTTTAGTTAATGCAGTCAATATAATTTTATATTGGGAGATAGTTATTATACTCTTAGACAAATATTTACAATGTATGTAATATGTAAGTAGGAACATACATTATGTAAAAATGTAGATACACAGCTATGGTCAAAATAATAGAAACACCTAATATTTTTGTTCATAACAATCCCAAATCATTATATTGCCGCCACCATGTTTTACGGTTTTGCGCGTGAACCTGGGGTTTAATTCAGTATTTGGTGGACGTCTAACGAAGGTAGGAACATCTGGCCCAAATAAAATAATTTTTGTTTCGTCCGAACCAAGGATATTGCGCCACTCCTTTACACCCTCTGGCCCGCTCCACTCCGAATGAGTGTTAGCAAAAGTTTTTCTATGTTTAATATTGTTTTTACTGACATAGGGAACTTTTCGAGCTTCGCCACCAAATAAACTATTTTTGTTCAACATTCTTTTAAAATTGCTTTTGAAGATTTCAATTGGTCTTTTTTTACATATCATTACAATTTTTCTGTTCAGTTTTTCACTTGTTTATTGCTTTCTTCCTCGTGTTTCAGGACTTTTATTACTTTTTAAAGCGTTAAAAACTAAATGTACTGAACGTTCAATAATTGTGGCAATTTCTTTTACACTTTTTCCTTGGTTTCTTAAGTTTTTAATTATTTATTTTTCCTTAACAATACAATGATTTGATCGACCCATAATTTTGCAATATTTTTCCAATTTTTCAAAAAATTAAATTATTGTGATTATTATAATTTAAATATTGTTCAATATTTGCTTAAATAATGTAAAAAAAAATTAGTTTTACTCATCAATAAAGCTACATTCGTCGGGTGTTTCTATTATTTTGACCAGATGAAATACGGTATTTTTACTTTCAAATGGTGAATTCCGGCAGATTACAGTTTTTTAGTGACAATAAATACATATATTCACAATTGAACATAATATAGCAAAATAATTTTGCAAAAGATGGCATTTAATTCGAATATAATTTACAAAAGATATAAAAGAAATTAAAAACGTATATTAAGTGTTTCTATTATTTTGACCATAGCTGTATGTATGTATTTACATTGTTTTTTGTACTTATATTAAGTACATTGTGACCCTGATTATCGCTGTAACCAAGTTCTTTCTTTTTTATGAATGTCCTTATTTTTGTTTAAATACTTGAACAAGAACATATTCATGTATATAAAATAGAAAAAGGAATATCTGCAAGTTTTCCAAATATTTTTTAACCTCAACCTCAAATTTTAATAATTTTCCAGAATTTATTATTATTTTTTTTTTTCTGGAAAGATACATATAGTAGGTGAGTGTGAGTGTATTTAAATATTTCTTTGAATATATTTCGTACACATTTTTTTATCAATTCCAGTTTCCCTCCCAGATATTTTTTTGTTATTATAATTTATATTTATATTTTATTCTTATTTATATGTGTGTCTGTTATTATATTTAACCTCGTTTTCCAAATATAGATTGTGGAAATATCCGTGAAACATCTAGAGCTATTGTAATTGAAAGGAATTTTGTTGCACAAACAAAAGAGGTTCAACAAGTCGCAAATTTAATTTTTTTTTTTCGTTTTTTTTTTTTGTTATATTGGAAATTTTGTAATATTTTTATTCTACGAATTTGAATGGAATGGGAAAAGGATAGTATTCTCCTTTTGTTTTTCATTTCTATTCAGATTTTCTTTATTAAAAAATCGAGCGTAAAATTTGTACAATATTTACGTAAATGGAAATGCGCATGACTATTGTTACCTGAACATCCTGTTGCTTCTTTTAACTTCTTTTATTGTTTATATATTTTTTTTTATTTTATTTGATTTCTGTTTAACAAAAAAACCTGTGAACCTTCAACCAAAGTCTTAAATTAACATACGTTCATACATAATAATACATTACATGAGTTCTCATTATGTATGTATAGAATGTAAGTATGGAATGTAGATATGTACAGAATAAGTATACGTACGTGTTACATACATACATATGTTATAATTTTGTATTAGATATTTGGATGTTTGTTTAATAAACAAGTTGTTATGATGTGTTTAATGACCTAGATATTTGCTTAAAAGTTATCCATAATTTTGTTTTTTCAATTTTATTTTTATTTTTGGATGACCATTTCGGATAGTTGAAATGTTTTATAATAATTACCTGTAAAATAATTCAAGAGGAACTTTCAAAAATTGTCTAATTTAATTGGCAAATAACTTTTAATATTATTTTAATCTTTTAAAATTGCTATTTTTATAAGAAATTTGCAAGAAACTTTTAAAGTTTCTATTAAGTTTACAAAATTATACAATTAAATTAAATTGAGTACATTATGTATGAACTGTTAAAATTAATAAATGATAAAACTGGTAACTGATAAATCTGAAAGTTATCAGAATAAAAAACTTGTATTTTTATGTTTTTTTTTTTTTTTTTTTGGTATATAAGGCTATTTAACATAGGGCATCTTATTGAAATCATAGGATTTATGATTCACTTTTATACACTTAATAAATTCGAGGTTATTTGTTATAGTTTTTCTTTATGTTGAATTTAATATTTAAAGTTATAAATATATATATCGTTTTAATTTTGTTGGTTCAATGTCGAATGTTATGGACACGTACATACTTATATGGTAATTTACTTTTATATTAATATTTTATTTTATAATATTGCCATATAAGGGAAGCTATATAATATCAAATATAATTTTTATAGTGACCTAATCAGTGTTTGAATCCAAGATCCTTTGATTGAAGTACTCGTGTCATAAAACAGGTCTTGATGTAAAAATTAGCGAGATAAAATAGCATAAGTTAATTGAAAGAACCTCTGAAGTTACTCAGTGTAATTTTCACAAAATTCTGTTCGGAATACTTTTATTTTTTTTTTCTAAACAGACAATCTGAATTTTTTCCAAAAATAAGGGGAGTTGATACTAAGACGAGAAGATTTAAAGCTGTACTATTATATTCTTTAAAAGAAGGAAGATTAAGTCTTGCAAATGTAAGAACTTAAATCTTCTAATAATAAAATTATGAACTTTTATCATTAAAGGATTCTTGTCTATTATTAAATTTAAAGTTTAATATCAATTTAATAACAAAAAATAAAAATATTAAAAGAAATGAAAAATTTTACTTTCTATAACACCTAAACATTTTTAATTTAATAATTCAATTTTTTTTTTTCATATTCAAAAAAAAAAGAAAAAAATTAATTTATTTGCAACTCTTCCTATCGGTTTTATTAAAAATATTTCTTTTCAAAGTAAAATTCATTTCCTGCTGTCATTTAACAGAAATATTTCCTCTATGCCAGTATGTCCAACAACATGTACTCGTATATGTAGATATATGTATACCTGTGAATCTATAAAATAGATCAAATTTTTTTTTTATACTTTTATAATAATATAAACGTCATCATATTAATAAAAGATACACTTGCATAATGGTGTTCCCATACTATATAGGCATCCTTTATTATTTTTTTTTTTTTTTTAGAATTTTTAATTAAAGTACAATATTAAATTATAAAATATAAGAGTAGAATGAATTTAAAATATTGTATACCTATATTATTATTATTATTATTAGACTCGATCTATTATTAATAAATTTTTTTAATTTTTTTATTTTTATATTATAAAATTTATATATTTAGGTTAGGTATATGACTTTACACTGAGAAAAAAATTTATCTTAATTAGAATTTTTTTTTAAAAACAAAACGGACACATTTAATTATATTCGAAATCAAAACAATCACACTTTATAGCAAAATTTTCACTTCAAATTTATTTACTACACTCTTAATTTTTATTTTGAATGTAAAATATAAAATAATTTTAGAAATATATTGTAGCTAGCTAATATATCTTAATATAGCTATACTTTTGAGCCATTTATGAAAATAAATTATCTAGTTAGAATTAAAGGAAAAAAAAAATTCTGAGTGGGCTACAAAAATTTTGTATAT